GCTGGCGTCGCCGGGCGCGTGCAGCGTTAGCAGACCGGTTGAGGACATCATGCTCGTCACCGCCGCCATCGTCATCGTCGGCGTCGCCGTCACGTCGGCGTACGACCTCCACCGACCACCCCGCCAACCGTCACTCGCCAATGACATACGCAAATACGTCGCCGCTCACCGCGCTTATTACAGCAACATCCGCGGCGCCACTGACGACGACTACATCGGCGACATCAGTACCCGCGGCACCGGTGCCGCTGGCGGCGATGCCTACTACAAACAGCTGATCGCCGACTACACGGAACTCTACAACGAGCTGTCAAACCGCAAGGTGGCGCTCTCCGACTCCCAACTCGAGGCGGCCGTCGACGACTGGCGGCAGCAGCAGCAGCGTCGCTCGCTGTTCTCCGCGGCGACGCAGACGCTGACGCTAACGCCGACGCAGATCCGAGCGGCGATGAACGGTAAGCGAGGGCAGCTGGAGACGATGAGCGTCATGGGCCGACCCGGGGCTCTCGTCTCTGAGGTGCAGTACGATACGAAACACAGCGTCAACGCGCAGCCACAGAAGGGAGGCTGGGAGAAGCCGCAGCAGCAGCAGCAGCAACAACAAGAGAGGGAGAAGGGGAACGAGGCGGAGAAGGCGAAGGAACGCGGGGAGAAGGAGTTCATCGGTTCAAACTCGTTCGATTACCTCGGAAGGCCCAATATTAACCCGAAGAAGGGAGTATATGTGACGTATCGATAAATATACGTGGGTAGATTCTGTTCTCTGTATGTGATCTATAGACGGATGGTGGGTAATTTCCATTCTTTGTATATTACCTATAGCTGCATGGGGATTGGACTCTGTTCTTTGTATATAACCTATAGGTATGTAGGGGTGAACTTTGTTTGACTTTATGTAACCTATTAAACTCTGTTCTCTGCTCGTAACATGTAAATGGATCGGATGTTTACTCTGTTTCTCTCTATGAAACGTATAAATATGTGCGGTAAACCTGGCTCTTTTTATGGCACGTGTATGATATACAAAGGTAAACTCTGGTTTCTGTATGTAACCTATGGTGAGAAGCGGCAAAGACTACTACGAAACTACTTAAGGCTCATTCGAATATCGAATCGTGCATTTCGAATTTCGAGCGCAGCCAGCGGTACAGAATCCATATTCTAACTGGTCAGCAACGTTGTAGATAGATGGGGTGGGTGGGGGGGGGCATCGCTACCTCTCTCTCTCTCTGACCCGCCTCCTCTCACATTTCTCTTTTTGTCACGCACTCACACGCTATATACCGCTGTCACACGGGATTGTAATATTTTGTACACACGATTATACATAAGCCGTTGTAATAAACAAATTGAATTCGATATCGACATTTTCTCTTATTTCACAATTCGACTCGCGATCGTTGGCGGCAGTGCCCTCTAGCGAATGAACGATAGCGCTCGACCTCTGCTGGAGAGCACCGCTAGGTGGCGCGCATATCGTCGTGTCATCTCATCGCAGTCGACGGTGGCGCCACGTCGCGGTGTAACGACTGCACGCACGCGCGCTCTCGCCTCGCAATGCGGTCTTCGATGCGGTGGATATTTCTGAGTCGCGCAAATCGATTCAGCGACGTAAGGGAATGCAGTGTGCGGTGTCGCCCGTGTATAGCTGCTGCTGCTGGTGGGGTGGAAATCGCGACGTCTATGCACTTGCGATAACGCTCGCTGTTTATAAGCGACGTATTGATAAGAAACGTCTGCTGTTTAGGTGGGTGCTCTTTCACGGGCGCTTTCAGTCTGGCGTTTACACAAGTACTGCGAGAACGAGTAAATTGCAGCATGACTGTATCGACTTCAGCTGCGAGTGGTCCCCGTGAATAGCAAAAGAGCTCGCATGTCCCGTCAGTTACTGATGGGGTTCCGGGCCACACCGCGCCAAAGCGCCAGAGAGAAGCTAAATAACAGACGTTGTCCCTTTATATTTGAACGATATATGAAGGGATAAAAGGTTGTCGCTTGGTTTACACTGCGCGAATTCTCATCGCGCTGGGGCTCGTTCTCAGAAAGAAAATTAACAGGAATCTTATCATCAACGTTTTCTCGTAGACTGGACCTCTTCTATACACGGTGTACGAGAAACTCGTACATGTTTACAATGTGTTTTTTTGCCAACAGTCTATGAGAAAAAGTTAATGTTAAGACTAATATTATGACTAATTTTCTTTTTGACAACAAGCCCCTCACCGTTTTGTTCGATTCGGTTGCGCAATTCGGATTGGCTATCGGGCGGCGCCTCGCGTCGGTCACGTGACTGGAATGGAACGTCGCCGCGGCGGGCGAGCGAAGGTTGCGAATGACCCACCACGCGGCGCTACTGCTGCTAGCTGTAGATATCTAGCAAAATGATTTGTAGAGACACCGGCGTTGAAAACCAGCTGTTAAGACACGGGGGGTGGAGTTCACTAATACGACGTTAGGAGGATGCCCGCGCATGCGCACTGCATTGTTTTTAATTCGACGCGTGTGGGAAGCAACCCGTCGTCGTAATAGCATGTCGCTAATAATCGAGGGGAGGTCAAGATAGCCCAGCAGCAGAATCGGAAAAAAAGACCATAAATAAGGAAATCGTAGCACCCCCACTACACTTTATGGTTTATTGAGGGTGTACTAATGAATTGTGGGGTCGAGACGATGACCATAGACGATGAGCATAGGCGATGCCGATAGACGATGACGATAGCCGATGACGATACACGATGACGATAGCCGATGACGATAGCCGATGACGATAGAGGATGACGATAGCCAATGACAGGCCGAAGACGGAGACGCCGAATAGAAAGCACTCGTGCGTGTTGTTGATAGATGGAGAAGCGCGCTCGCCACAGAAGTCTTGCCCCACGTACTTGATGCATATTATTAAGAAATTATTTGTTCGACGTCGTTGGAAGCCGACGCTTTGATGGAGCGGAATCGCAGGTGATCTCGCCGTTCGTTCGCTCGCGCGGTTTCGTGTTGAATATAATGAGGCTGTTATGTTGCTTATCTTCTGTGCGCTTCTCTGGGAAGACTTAAGGCGCAAAGCGCATTAGCACGCCGCAAAGTTAAGTGTTTTCGTTTCATGTCGACTCAACTTAATATGTATATATATATATATATATATATATATATATAGAGAGAGAGAGAGAGGCCAGAGAGTGGGCGATAATGAAAGAGAGAGAGAGAGAGAGAATTTCAAAGGCGATTGTTATATAAAATCGTACGAAAATTTGCAATACCACAGTGCTGCGCGTAGTTCCTTCTACTGATATATATATATATATATATATCAAGAGCGTATTAAGTATACTTATTAGACAATAATTATATGCTCTACGTCATGCCCTCATAATTGATGCGCTCTTGATCAATTTATATAAATATCGAGTTATTTCCGAGCACCCAAGGCCCCCTACTAAGCTCTTATTATATCATGACGTCAGCGGATATATGCGCTTGTCAGTATGATTGCTATGCCTACCAGACACTGACTGCTCACTGCGGCAATCAACAGATTATTGATGATGCAACAGCGGGTTTGATGCGAATATTACGGGGCTGGTCAACATATCTGTGTCTATAACGTGCGCATTTAATCTTCGTTATTATATAATGCACACACATCACGCATGCATGCACGCGCGCATGCACACACACGCACACACGCGCGCGCGCACGCACGCACGCACGCACGCAGACACACACACACACACACACACACACACACACACACACACCTTGTCACCACTACGTTCCGTTGCCACAATGTTAGCAATTAGGAGATTACAATATGTGAATAAAACATGAAGATGGCAGCGCGCCATTTGTAATAATTGGTGAATAAAGCCACTATAAACGCGTGAATAAATAATTACTCCCCCGAACTTGATCGCAAAAATCGCGCGCTTCGATTCTTACGTAGGGGCCTACGTACAGGGGTTAATAATGACAAATTGAGATTTTGACAAAAAATGTCATTATTAACTCCTGGTACGCAGTGTCGTGCGTTCGATGCAGTAACACAACAACAAAATGACACGCGCGACACACTCGTGTCACAAGCGCAATCAGACTCGGATTCGTCGTGATCGACTTTTATTCAAATAAAACGACGTTCGAGTGACATTGCAGTGCGCATCCAGGAACGTATGATAATATTTGCGCGCATTAGCGAGTAATTATTTATCGCAGTGATGCTGTGACGGGTGTGTGATTGCCGAAACGTCGATACATGCAATCGTAGGCAAGTTAAAAGCACGATTGACCCAGGATGTGGGCTGCCGTGGACGTTAATAGATATTACTATTTGCAGATGCACTTACCGTCTCTAACTTCCTCCCACACACGCACACACACACACTATTACTGTTTACAGATGTAGTTACCCCTCTAGCTTCCTCGCCCACTCTGTCAAACACACGCGAGCGCGCACACAACACACGCGCACGCGTGCTAATGACCTACACCGCTAATACGTGAGCAGAATGCTAAGAAGGAAAGTGACAAAGCTAGTAATCGGTAGCTATAGCAAGGCGCGGGACATGAATTCATTCAGAAGGCAAATATCCAGAGTGAATAAAGAACCACAAAATTCGTTTTTATTCACACCTGATGATACCGTACAGCGATGTATAACTGCTGATCGATCTGCCGAATCAGTTGGTTATTTTGCGAAAATACAGTGTTTCCTCGCCCACTTCCCTTTCTCCCTACCCTTTTTTATTTATGTAATGTTCCCGGTCAACCATCTACTTCAATTACATTAAAATGACATTAATCGTGTGATTGTACAGCACAAAACATATCTGTACATAATTACAATACTATACAATACAATACAATACAGCATAGCCTACAGCTGTACAAAACTACAATTAGTATTATAGAAACAACATATACCCGTGTGCAAGTTTACAATACTGTGAAGGTACGATAGAGGCATGCATGGACAATTATGATAACATGGATAATAAAATTAGAATATGCCTTATTACAAGACTCAAATACTACGAGGATGTAGGGCCTATCCCAGAGCAATACTACAATATTGTAGCAGTATCAATACTTCTGTAAAAGACTACACTTCTATAAGAATACATCATACCTCTGTTAATAATTGTTGTACTATAGGAATATATCATACCCTGTACAAGGTTACTCTGTATTTCATCTCCTGCTTTAAATTGTATTGCTCTAGCCTGTTATATTAATGTAGGAGTGACGTTTCGATCATCTTGGAATAGGCAGCACCGCTAACGCCCTGAGGGTGACTGTAACATATTATTCTCAACATCGTAAGAATATAGTATAACTCTAATAATGCATCTCGTTCTTTCATTAATTAAAACACACAGCCCATGCGCAAATAAAGTGAGGCGGACATATAAAGCAGAATAAGGCGGTTTCCAAGCTTTGAACAGCACCCCATCGCTGCGCATTTCACAATGCTGTGCGTAACGAGGATAGAAATATTCGAATGTGGTTAGATGGATGGATGGACGGATGTATGAATAGATGGCCGGACGGACGGACGGACGGACGAACGGACGCGGGACGGACCGACGGACGGACGGCGGACCGACGGACGGACAGCTAGATAGCTAGATAGATAGACAGACAGACAGACAGACAGGCACACAGACAGACAGACACGCAGACAGGCAGGCAGACACACAGACAGACAGACAGACAGACAGACCAGCAGACAAGATAATAGATTAGATAGTAGCATTAGATAGATAGATAGATAGATAGATAGATAGATAGATAGATAGATAGATAGATAGATAGATAATAGCAGAATAAATAGATAGATAGATAGATAATAGATAGAATGATATAGATAGATAGTTAGATAGATAGATAGATAGATTAGATAGATAGATAGATAGATAGATAGATAGATAGATAGATAGATAGATAGATAGATAGATAGATAGATATGTATATATCTATTTCTATGTTTTTCTGGTTGTTCCGTTCCTACGGAGCAAATTTTGCTTACTTACGCTACTCATTGTAGCGCCCTCTGTAGTCGAAAGATGTTTACAATGATGTCAGTAAAGCTTCACTTGCCAGTGCTATCCATCCTGACGTCGGACTAGCAGAGGTTGAACTTGGTAGTTATTTACGTAACTAAACATGTTTGCTGAATCGATAATGGGCAACTTTATTTCATTATTTTATCAACTATTTATTTTTAATACGTATTTTTACTGTTTTCTCTAGACAATTAATCTCGACTCTGTCGGACACACGCTCAGTTCGTTCACCTCACACTGTTACGTTTTATTCCGAGTATACGAGTTTACTCCTGTCGCACAGTAGATGGCGTACGTCAC